TTGATATAAATAATAGCATGAAATGGCTGAGTACATTCATTTGCATGAGTATTGGTAAATATTTTGACTTCGCTTCAGGCCAAAATATGGGAAGGCAGATAAAATTTGAGCAGAAATTGTCTTTGCTGTGAGGTAACACATTTGACGTGCAACTTTAGAAGTTCATGAATGTGAGATGTGTCCCTTTCTAGGACAGAAACTAAAATCGAGTTTGTTTACTTATGGAAAGAGAAATGTTAAAAAATTTCAATGTCACTATGGTGTCAACTTTTATAAGGACACTGGATAAGGTGATAAGAGCACTTTTCAACATGGATACTCATTGATTTAACAAATGCACGAGTATTGTGAATTTCCGACAACGTGCAGGATCTAAAAACTCCAATTTGTGGAAAATCAGATTTTACGTAGTTTGCCATTAAGAAAATGGTTGAAACTTTACTTCCATCTAATTTATACTAATTTTTTAATCAAAAATAAACTAAATCAATTCATACAATGATTGTATACATTAATTGAAGAGGGCTATAAAGTAACTCAAATCATTCGAAAATTTTCAAATCAGGTAATTGATTAAAGATTGTTGTAGCCAAATTAATGCGCCTGAATGCCTGAAATATCAGTTTTATTCAGAAACTCTGCAAGACAACGACACTTCAATTACGCTCATTTAAAAAAATAATTAACAATAGCATATCAATTCGATTTGTACTGGACATTAATTTTTCATTTGCAAATACTGTAAGCAATGTGAATTAACGAAATTGAATTACCCCAGGACAGATATTTAAACACTTTTAAGCAGTTAGCCATAATTTCTAAGTCAAGTAATAATAAAAATGTCAAAGTAAATTTATTTCAAGTTATATTTCCTAAATTTCTTCAGAATAAAGCACATTCAAAACTGATACCCAAGCGGAATCACCTAGGCCTTAAGTTTTCTGTTGAATTATATTTTCTTCCATCGTTTCCAACAATTTATGTGCAAATGAATGAGGCATTTCCGCAACTTCAATTTAATCTACAATTAAAACATTAAATTTTGCCAAACTGGGTTTCTAAGAAACACAATAGAAAAGTGTCGCTATCGTTAGTTTGAGCATTTTTCACTTAACAGCGATTTGACATTTTTTGAGAAAGTAATTAATGGCTTGCCTGGGACAGAGACCAATTCGCATGAAATTAAATTCTGAAATCAGGGGCCGTTGTTCTTTCTATTTCCAAGAGTTTATTACTGCACATGATAATAATAATATTGAAAAGTTAACTTCAAACAAAAAGTACTGTTAGTCGATTGCCGATTTACTTCATACCTTGAGCGAAATAATGTCTGTTAACATTTAACTGAATGCTAGAAAAGCTTATTATTATTTTCATCGAAATAGGATATGTATTATTTATAAAAAGAGGGTGTGTTTATTTTATTAAAAGCAACAATTGCAACTCCTTGTAGCTAAATTCATTTAGGCAAAAAAGGCGTATTGTTTGAAATCAAGAGTGGAAAATGTTCAAATAATCAACCAAGAAAGGGGATATTTTGCTGAGTGTCAATGTTTTTTTTATTTCTCCTCTTAACTTCAAAGCACTCCCCTTAATTGATAATCCAGAAATTTATTTGAAAAATTAATAGACATTACTACGTTTTGTTTAAATAATGTAAATATTAGTTTTAGCTTAATTGAAGCGTAATCATTTCCAAGAGCCTGCAAGCAACAGTTGCATCATTTGAGTGTTGGTATTTTGCACTAGTTTTTAAGGGTGAAAAATTCATTCCATCACCAATTAATAGCTGTTAAAAAACAGGACAGACGTTATCTCAAAAAATGGTACAAAAGTTTTCTTACAAAGGGCGAAGTAAGTATAGCGATAGCGTACATTTTTCAGCTAAAAATAGCAATTTAGGCGGTATTAAATGTATATTTTCACAATTAGTTCATTCTTAGCATTCAAATCAAGGCTTTATTTAGCGAAATCCTTTCGCGGTGGAATCAATATTTAATTTACCACGGTTACACCTTGTATTTAACTCGGTGGAACGTTTTTTATTCATAGACTTGCCTTCGTATTTGCTGTATCGTCAATTTATAACCTCTAAATATTTCGCTCATTTTTGCGGTATTATATTATGAAACGAAGGATCGAAGGTTCCCTTGAAACATTGAGTTAATTCGTATGGCAAGATATTCTTAGATTTTTTATTATTTAATTTTGTAGTTCACTTATTATTAATAAAATATTCTAATATATCATTTTATTTGGTGATGACAAAGTTGAACATACGAAAGACAACAGCATTTATTTTCTTTTCCTTAAGGTCGGTATTTAAGAAAATTTATTCAATAGATATTCGTTTTTCATTCGAGTCCCGCATTATTCGTTATGAGACGTTGCCGAAACTACATTTTCCTGCTTTTAATAATTTTATAAATAACGATGTGGATCTAATTGCTTTTTTGAATGCAATATACTATTAGAGATATATACTCAAACGAAAATATTTAAAAAACTAACATTTACTTCATTTTAGAGCACCTACGATTTATTCTCCCCGTTGCTTAATTTTATTTTGCCTAATTATCTTAATTAAAATAATTCAACATAGGAAGTCTCAATATTGATTCTCAATTATATTTAATTCTTGAGCTCTACACAATAATTTCAACAATGCCATAACATATATTCGTTCAATTAAATACTCTAAATCAACGACTCCCTCTTCACCTAATAGAAAGTAACAAGTGTTGAAGCTTTCAATTGTATTCCACGGCTGGGTTATTTGTGGCGTTAAGTGTATGAACTTTCACGGGTAAATTTTATTCTGAGTTGCAAATTATAAACACGTGGTTTATTTTAGAGATGCACAAGATTTTACTGAGCTAATAACTAAATACCGTTGAATATATATATATATATATTTTTAATATTTATATATAATGTAAACATGATTGATCTACTCTCTCTTTTCATCCTTTTGTAAGATAATGTGGCCATCTAGACTATACTTCTCTCTGATTAAATATCCTAAATGGGAAATAAAAGTGGACTTAAAGATTGCATCTTCAACCTCAAAGTGAGTTTTTTTCTGCCTAGATTGTTGCCTAAAGATAACTTGCGCTGATAGATTTTATTACCGCTTCTTCCCTCGGCCAAACCTTCCCCCCTCCCCCCTTTACGGGAGCTAAAAGTTTGCAAGTAACTGGAATAAACTCAGAGTTCCTTTCTAGTGCTTTGCCAACATAATAGGAAAGTGAAATTAATTCGAAGTAAACTCCAAAGAAAAGCACTGTGTAATGGTAATTAGTGCAGTTCTAAATTAACTACATTCCAGGCCTTAGAAATGTAAAATGATAAATTTTGAAGTGCTTCTCAAATGCTTATTGGTTTATTCGTTTTTAATTAATTTGAAGAGAAAATTGTCGGTTTTTTAAGAACCGACTCAAACAAGTAGGTAAAACATGTCCAAACTATTCCATGCCCCAAGTACAGCTTATTTTTAATATAGTCCACTATGCGTAATGAACGACAATTTTTGTGCTGAATATCCTGCATAAAAAATACTATCATCAAAATTTAAAAAGTTAAAAAATCTGTCCATTATGAGATGATAGCTGTAAATTTCCGGTTTCAGTTTAACGCACTCCGTCAAAATGCATCTGCTTTGGCCTAAGTGCTTTATTTAAGTATAAGTATTTTTACCATTGGCACTAAAATATGTGTATCAAAGCACGATTGAAAGGGCCTTAGAAACTCTTATTTATCCACCTTAATAAAGCTATGCTTCCTAAGAAAAATCTAGTTATTACAACTTACAAAAGTTTTTAAAAGCAATTAATACAGAAAGCCCATTTGACCTTATGCTAATTAATTGCTCCAAAACCATGAAGATAGGAATGGCATTACTATTCAGTACTTTAACCTTGGTCGTTTGGAAATATAGGCTTTCTTCTGCAAACAGATGGCTTACTTTCTTACAAAAGGTAAATGGTTAAAAACTGTAATTTCAGTGCAACTCCCATCTAGACCTTTCTCAAACCTAGTCACAGTTAAAAAGAAATGCACCCAAAAATGTAAAGCTATATGGGTATTACTCGCAATGACTGGTACTGTTCTTATATTCTTGGTATTTTTTCCCAAAATCGTGATTAAACTCTTTCAAACCCTCGAAAAAGGATAAAAAAAGATGTTTAAATCAAAACCCACTCTAGAAACACAAACCAAATCAAATTTATAATAGCACTATCGATTTTTTTCAAGTAAATGAAACTTTAATAATTCCTAAATAGCACTTTTAATTGATTTTTCACTATCATGTTTTCGGCTTATTTGTTTACGAATTTACCACTGAAATAAATATCAGATATAATATTAAGTTACTTTTAGATACGAAATGCCTTCATTATGCGACATTTTACGACCTTAATATCATAATTTGTAAAATCTCGAAAGTAAAATGAGTTAGTTTGGTGTTTCTGACGATTTGTTGATTTTATGGCCTGGTACTACAACAGTTGTAATAATTACATAAAAATTTTCATAATATAAGGAATTTTTAAGTTATTTTTATTATATTTTTTGTCATGAACGATATAAATTCGTGATTTACATATTTTATGAAAAGGTGAGAGATGCTAAATACCCATCACGTTGAAATAGTGAAATTTAAACAGTTTTGATCGACGATCAGCCACAGATGACTCATTCTATGGGCTATAAAATTCCTCCATAACTTTTTGTCGGTTCGGTTGTATTGTTTTTCAACATTTTTCTCAAATTCATGCTATTAGTGCTATTTTAAATTCAAAAAGAAAATAACAAAGTAATAGTTAAACTCAACAGACAGAATGCTATCAACTAATTAAAGTCAAAGATGAACATCATAAACCATAATAAACGGGCTTTTTTTACCAAAAATTAATTGGTAAACAATAAAATTTCTAACATTTCTAACAATAAACAGAGCATAAATGTGCAATTGTGCAACTTTGACTATAGTACAAATATTAAACGATTAATTGAAAGTATTTACCTTGAACGAATTTCAGGGTTGTCGGATCAACAACAGAGTATTTTCGAATATCTTGAATAGAAATTATACTCCTTCGGATTTCAGAAGTGCCATCGATTTTTGTCTTAAGACTCGATTTCTTTAGTAAGCTTCTTTTGGGTACAATATCCTCTGAAGATGGTGGGGGAGGGACAAGCAAAAAACGTCTTCCTGGATCACTACTTCCGGGCATTGATGACTGTGAACCAGATTCTCTTTTACGGTTATTAGAACGATAACGAGGTCTCGGGGCGGGATTACTAATTATATGAGGAGTAGTAAAAGAATCGGCGCGGAATTTATGTGGTGATGATGCAGGTGTTATTTGTGAATAAGGTTTCGTAATTGCTGGAAAGACAAAGCACTCCTCCTCTTCTTCCATATTACATGTGCATCAAAATTCTCCTATAAAACAAAGGTGGGGAATACTTTCTGAGAAAATTTAGATGTAGCCATTTCCTACAAGATGAACAGTCAATCAAACTTAAGACGAAAAAGAGAAATAAAATAAAAAATATATAAGAAAGCGTATTCAAATTACCGTAGCTAAATTTTCAATTATTTATATGTGAAAAATAATTTTACCAATTGTGACTTACAGTAGATAGCTAACTATTGACCAAACGCGAGAACAAATCACCAAATTTGAAATAAGAAAGCTTGTGATCAAGAGAACCAGAATTGCTTAGAAATGATAAAATTGATTTTGAAACTGATTTTGAATTTATTTTAAATTAATATCAAATAATTAATGTAATAAATAATATTACAAACATAAATACATCTTATAAATAATGTTACAGTCAAGTTTAATAAAATTCGGTTTTAAATAAAGCATTATTTAAAATGGAAGAAATATTTTTATTAATTTATTTTCATCATTTGTTTTAGCTATTCAATTCCTTATGTTGATCAATATTAGCAAGTGGAATTTTGGGCTCTAAGCTTGGTGTATATACTGTAAATGTAGGTCTAGGTCGACTTTGTGCTTTAATTTCTTATTTGTATCTTTTTTATATAGATTACTCTTGGTAGGCTCAAAGCCATTGTACATAATTTGTAATTAATTGAATAAACGGTCAATGACGTCAAGCGATAATAAAGATCCATCCGAAATTCCTGCTGAGCAAGTGCTTCTTTCGGCTGCTCCTCCAGGTTTTCAATATGAACTCAATAATATAATGGCTAGTCGAAGCCGTTTGGAGACATTTCCTCACTGGGTGTCTTCGAATTTGGTATGCGTTTTGTCCCTACTTGATCTTTTTTGCACCACTTTAGGATTCCCACAACTCTGATCATGGTACTCCTCACTTGCCTGACGGTCTTGATTTAACTGATGAGGATGGGACTGATTTAGCAGCTGGAGGAATTACTGATCTGAGTGATGCAAGCCGTCAAATTGACAATTCGCTTGCTAATCACCTTCAAAATCTTGGGTTTGAACAATCTCGCATAGTTTGGGCCGTCGGCGCTGAACGCAGGAGTCAAACGTCATCGGATGATCATTTCAACTCAAGTTCCGGAGATGTAACTACTAATAACTTAAGCTCCGCCACTCCTGTTCCAATCGGTGGCAATTTCTCATCTCATAATGACGTCGATAATCATGGTAATTGTAAGACAAAAATAACTTCTGCTTCCGCTCCTGAAAATATGCCCGGGATTGATACTCACTCACTGTGGGAAAGAAACGCAAATCGGCATGTGTGGCCTTTTGGTCGATTTTTTGACGATCAAGACAAACACGATGAAGGACAAGATGAGATACGCGATGCTGCTGAAAAACTTGATGGTGCTAGTAGAGCAGTCTGGGAATGGGAATCGGCTCTTACGAACGTAAGTCCTTGTAATCATTCGGATTGCCTCTTTAGAATTCATGGGGCGACAGTGGCTTTCTAGATGCTGGAAAAGCAACCAGTGCTGTTACTACAACTGAACATTTGGCCTACAATCAGGTGGCAGCTGGTGGAGCCGGTATTATTCAACAGGCACATCAACAACAGCAACCTTCTTTTTCAAATCCCTGGCCTACAAAAAATAGCAGCGTTGTTGCTCCATCTTCTGGTCACTTTCGTCATTTGAATGCTAATATAGCTACCGATACTACTAACGAATTTTGTGATAACAGTCTTAACACTGCTGATGCTGCTACTCATCCGTCGAATGAAATCGATGGTTCATATGGCCAATTTTTAGGCAAGAAGGTTGGAAATAGTAACGGCGGTGGTGGTCTGTACGGAATTCAACATTCGGGTTCTCATTTTTTTCAATATGATGGAAGCAATGGAAAGGTAGGACAATATTCCTTTTTTCTCAGTGTTCTACTATTCCTAGGCTGGACTTGAAATTCCTTCAGTGGGTTCTGCTAGTACTAGTGTTAATGAAATTGGTCCCTCTGAAATAGGTCCTTTAAATGCCCCCCGTTCAATTCAATCATCTTCAATGGCACCCATGCCACTGGATTTGCAAGCAATGGCACTCGCTTTAACTTTAACTCAAGCTGCTCAATCAGCTGGGCCTAACTCTAACATACCAGCGAATTCTAGTAAGTTTTGTTTCTTAGATTTGGCAATGTTTCGGCGTTTTATTTGCGCTTATTTCCCCTTTAGATACGTGGAATCCAGTACTTTACAACCTGTTTATGCATCTTTCACAGAATCCGGCTGCTTTTGGCATGTCTACCACTGCAGCTCAAAACGCTGCTGTTCCACCTTCTCTGCCCTTACCAGCACCGGGCTCACAATTAGTTCAGAGTTCGTCCGCTTCTCAACCACCACCGTCGCAGCCAATGTTTGATCTAACACCCGAGTCGGCTCGTTTGGCTTTAGCGGTACTCAATATGCAACAGATTATGATGTCACAGAATCAGCAATCTCAACAACAAGCAAACTCTTCGTCAAGTCAACAACCATCAGGTCTCGTTCTGCAGAACTTCCAAAATGTTAATTCAGCTCCTGGAGTAAGAGGAAATGCAGGACCACAGCAGAATGCTTTTGCAGCATATGGTCTCTCTCAGGTACTGGAATATTTGGTTTTTAGTTATTATATGTATTGACTAATACAATTCAGAGCTACAATTTTAGCCCATAATTGGCGTTAGCTTCCCAACCCATTTACAAGCATTCATAGCTTCCTACTTAGTTTGAGTGAGGGAATTTGCAAGAGGCACGCATTTCTTCACCCCTCCCTTTTCCTTGCTAATCAAACTGGGCTGTTGATTGTGCACTACAATATCCCCATTAATGTGCATCGATTTCGCAACCTCGAAATAGGCAGATTTGTTGGCCACTGCCCCATTTGAATTAAGCGCATTTTGAAGCATCAATATTTGATTGGCTTATCATCCTTAGTCTGGTTTATAGAAATCGACCTTCAGAGGATTTCGGAATCTTCTATGTGTGATGAATCGTTGTTTTGTATTGCGTTACAGATGGGACTCATGCTGCCTAATGCCTCTCCACAGTTATTCCCACCACCGCCTCAACCAGGCGCTAATCAGGTGTCGCCATCATCTGGGGGTCAAGTTGTGTCCCCATCTCAAGCGTCAAGTACTGCACCACCCCCGGGATTTTCTAGGGTTGGCAATCCTCAAAAAGTTTTCAATTCACCTACCTATGCTCCTATTGATAGTAATTGTACATTTCTCACACTATTTAGTTCTAATACTCGTGCCCATCTAAGTCTTGCCAATTTTAGGTGGTTCATCTTCTGTTGCCAACGCTGGAAGCAACAGAAGTCCTCTTTTGGATGAATTTAGAAATTCAACTTCACGTTTTGTGGGGCTGCCACTATCAGATCTGCGCGATCATATTGTTGAGTTTGCTCGTGATCAGCACGGTTCGCGTTTCATTCAACAAAGATTGGAGACAGCAACAGCTGATGAAAAGGATATTGTTTTCTCCGAGATACTTCCCCAGGCTGACAAATTGATGATTGATGTATTTGGCAACTACGTCATTCAAAAGTTCTTTGAGTTTGGTACGGATAAGCAGAAGGAGCTGCTGTCACAACGACTTCATGGACAAGTGGTCGAATTTGCTGTACAAATGTATGGTTGTCGAGTTATTCAGAAGGCTCTTGAATCCGTGCCGCTGGAATCAAAAATTCACATTATCGACGAGTTGCGTCCACATGTGATGCGTTGCGTCAAAGATCAGAATGGAAATCACGTTATTCAAAAGTGCATTGAGTGTGTGCCTCCGATTAAGTTGGACTTCATTATAGCTACTTTCAGAAATCAGGTTTGTGCGTTCACACTGAGTTTTTTTCATGGTTTTGGATATTTGCTTTTTATCTTCTATTTAGTGGCGTTATCTTCAGTTTCTAAGCAGCTTTAACCCGAGTTGTTTTCTGTTTAATTCCTGCCGTCGATATTTGTGACCTAAGATGGTTTTCTTATGTGGTCGTTACTCTTACATTCTGTTTTCGTAGGATGCTTTAGATACTGTTGCCATTTGTATAATAACGGACACTAATTTGTATCTTGATTGGAAGAGGAGGTGCTAAGATGTTTTCCGATGGCAAACTACCACGATAGTCACTTAGCCAACTGGTCGTGTTTCAGCTTATTTCACATTTCAAGTCTGTTTAAATGAGACATCAATTTGTAAAAATCATTTTGGTAGCTGAGTTTTAGGCTAAACATCTCTCCGTGCCCTATCATTATACAGATTTTCCTAATTGCATCGCAGTTCCAATGCTTTTCATTTTTTCTACAGTTCTGTCTTTTACTCATAGGTCTACGCTTTATCATCTCATCCCTACGGATGCCGAGTTATTCAACGCATTCTTGAACACTGTTCTTCTGAGCAGACTCGTGTTATCCTAGACGAGCTCCATCAAAGTGTTGATAATTTGGTTAACGATCAGTATGGCAACTATGTTGTTCAGGTGTGTACTTTGTTCGTCTGCGTATATTCGTGGTACATTTTAAAGCCTAGTCATATTTATTTATTTTTTCTCTTAGCATGTTTTGGAACACGGTTCACCAGAGGATAGATCCCGTATAATAAATTCTCTTCGTGGTCGCGTAGCAACACTGTCTTCTCACAAGTTTGCTTCAAATGTGATGGAGAAGGCGATTGCGAATGCGACTCCCTCAGAACGCGCAGCTTTAATTAATGAAGTTCTGGTCTCTGCGGATGGAAGTGATGGTACTTCCGGAGGAGTTCTAGTTGAAATGATGAAAGATCAGTACGCCAACTACGTTGTTCAACGTATGCTCGAATTGGCCGATAAACAACAGAGAAATAGCCTTATTACTCGTATAAAACCTCTGATCGGCGCTCTTCGCAAGTTTAACTACGGAAAGCATATTATTGCAAAGCTGGAAAGATATAGCCAAGGTGGTGGTAATAGTGGAGTGGGAGGAGGAAGCGAAAATGGGAAAATCGGTGTCATGTCAACGCCAAGTAGCTCCTCAAGCGATCATCTAAAGTCAGTTTAAGCTGGTGGTGTCGTTCTGCGTTTGGGTGTTCGTATCCATCCCTCCCCTTCACGACTTCTACTCTGTTCTCTTTCTCATTCATCTTTTATTCGTCTCCATCACTACATAGGCAACTAAACAAGCCGCGCTTATACATATTGTAAATTTCATCCCCCGGCCCCCCCCCCCCTTCCCCTGTATAGACTGTGTGAAAATGTGTATTCCCTTGTGTTTGATTGTACCTTCTCCCTCTCTATCTCTCTCTCGTTTATTGTTGATTTCTGCATGCACATATTCGTTGTTTATTCTGCTGGTTATAGTGTTTCTTCTCTCTTTCGCTTGTACAATACTCCCTTCACAACTCTCTTTTTGATCTCTCTTATCGAAAGGCACTCGAAAGAAATGGAAGGTGGATTCTACTGCATTATCTCTCATTGTAAAGAGATCAGGGTATATAGTGTATGCAGCTCTCATTGTATGTATAGATATGAAGTGGAGGGTATACGCTCGTTCTCCCATTTAATACATAAATATTGGATAGTTCTATTCTCTGTTTTTTTTTTGTTAATGGGAACTGGTTAGTTGTCTGGTGATCTGTTGTAGAAAATCGTGTATAATGATGGTTAAAATCACCCTCCCGGGTTTGACTCGCTTACTGGGTGTCACGAGTTTGAAGCTTGACCATTCAAGATGGCAAGGGGCTTACAATCGTAGGCCCTTATTCACTGGAATTCACCAAGTGATTGAAAGACAATTACTTTAGGTGGTTCCTGGTCCTTTACTTTTTTGAAAGTTCTTAATACATCATGTGATACGGAACCAGTTAATGGCGTTCAAAGATGCTACATGCATGCTTTATGCAGGGACTGTCGTAAGGTTCGTCCGGGACACTATTCGGGGTATGGCAGAGGTTCAAGAGGATGACTAGTTTCTTCAGGTACGTATTTATTCTTTACACATATTCTGATCCTTATTGATTACTTTAGGAATTGTATACTCAGCCTCCTTTTCATTAAGATCCATGACCTCTTGGAATTTTACTCTCCCACGTATTTCATGCATCTTTTACTTATAAATGACCAATTCACTGTTAGATCACAAGATAGCAGTAGTGTGTAGAATTGGTATTCCAGAAGTTCCCTTTATAAAAATAGGATTTACAGCACGAATGTGAACGGATGTGTGAATACGCGTCACTTGCAAAGAAGCTGATTGGGTCCTGGTAATCAGACGTGTCAACGAAGTCGCGCCTGTAATTTTTGCCTTTTTCTACGGCTTGTATCAATTGGGTTCTGCCGGATCAATAATTTCAAAACCAGCGTTGACTTTTCAAGTCCAATCTTTTATTTCATTGTTCATTTTTGGCTTATATAATGTGCTAATTGTGTTATTTGTGCCAGAAAACGAGTTTCCCTCGTTGAGATCTATTTTAAATCACGTTATTTTGCTAAAAGTTGTTTGAAGGAACTACAAAGCATGGTGTTGGAATCTGTGTATGGGTTACGCCGTTATTAGGTCTTCTCGTGCATTTTTCCAGGTTAACGAGATTTAGTCTGCATTTAGGTTATTTCAAGTTATGTTGAATTTCGCACTTGGTAAATCCCCCACTATCACACATGATTTCAAAATGTTTAAAATACCGAGAGAATTCCGGCCGTTTAAAGTTCATACTTTCCGGAATTCAGCATTTGGGTTGCTCGCATTTTTATGTGAACACGGTAACTGTGGAAAATTAGCGCATTGGAATTGAAATACTGGTGTTAATAAATAAAATCAACTTGATTGCTTCATGTGTCGCATATTTAAAATGCATTAAAAACGTAGCGCTTAACACGAGAGAGGGAGAGAGAGATCGATGAGGGCTAGACTTATCTTAATCTAACTAAGTATAAATCAATACTAATTTAGCGGTAGTGTGTCCTAGATAATTACAGAGCTAAATACGTAATGAAACATCAATATGCATTATTCCTATGTTCAGCTTCTCTTAATTCGTCATAATGCTTTTCTTTGCGGGCTTTGTGCAATTGACTTACCTCCATGTGGTGGGCCCTGAGCAACGTATACTCACGCGGCAAAAAAGTCTATAAACTGGCAGTTGACTTCTCACTTCAAACTACCATAACCCCACTGTATGTCATATTCCACCACTTCCATCGTAATCATTTTACCTTTTCTTTGCCTTTGTGTCTGTCTGTCTCATTAACATCTTTGAATCACTGTTCTGTTCCCCTCTCCACTTTTTCTCACTTTGATGTTCCTCCTCTTCTCTGTGAAGCCCGAAGTTAGCCAAAGGGCTAATGATAACTACCAAAACGCCTGCTATTTGAAATAAGTAAATTAATGTTTTTCTTTGCCCTAAAATGGCATTGAATTTGCTCGCATCGCAACATTTAAACGACTTATCGTAGTGCAGATAAAATACGAGAAAACTGCAAAGCAGTAGAGCAGACTACTTGGGGGGAGGGGGGCAAAGAAACGCATAAGACACCTGCGTCCATTTCTTATCATAATTAAAAACAGAAGGGTTTTTAAAAGGGAGTTGGCCAAGGGCAGGTTATTTTCGCTGGTTCATTGCGTAGGCGAATTGGTCTCTTTCTTTTGCGAATTTCTTACTAAATTTGGAGCCAGGAGGAGAGACGAAGATCGGGCGTACTGCACTGCACCAATTGGTTAAGGCCATTGCACTACTTGTCAATGCGTTATTGATCCACAATTTCAGATGGGGGGGTGGGTGAGGGGAGGGGGGAGGGGGTTGTAATCTAGCCAAATCCCAGTAGTTCATCCAGCCTGGGGTCATTCGATCTTGCTTGCTTGGGTCACATACATTTGCACGGCTTAGTGACACTTAATTTCAATTTCTCGTAACCATCGCCTTTACTTTATAAGTTTCCTTAATGAAAAATTTAGTCATCGCCGTTTACGATCTCTAAGACACCAGTGGGCCTGTTTATTCATCAACAGATGACAAAAATACTAATATAGCAATTAACAAGGAGAAATGTGTGAAATTCAGTGATTTTCAGGCCTAAAATTTATAGATTTTCTCTGAAAACTTATTGATTTTAGTTGCTTTTATGGCTTTTATTTAAATTTAAACTAAGTTGTCAGGCCTATCGAGGGTTAATAACATTTAGTTTTAGTTATTTTAATTACTGATAGTTGCATAATTATCATGAAATAGTTTTAACTATTTTGGTAGTAGAGGAAAGCCTGGTAGCAACTGCGTATTTAATTAACACTATTGTACATGTCGTCATGCCTCATGTTATTTACCTTCAATTTTTTTTATTTTCAAATTATTTTAAATAGAAATAGGTCAATGTTAAGTTTGAAAATTTCTTTCCTTTAGTTAGTCTCACTGCTTAGTGAAAAAAATGCTTCAATTTCCTCCCAAGTTCTATACTAACCCCTCCACATCACAATTATTGATCATCGATCATAATTTAATTAGGAGGCAATAATGAGGTGATGAGGTTACCCCTACATCTAAGTCTACATTTATTGAAAACAAAGGATATATCTCACAGTTTCTAAGCAATTCAGAGACTTTAATTATCATCCAAGACAGATCGTATTTGGCTTCATAGGTAGCCAAATCTCTGGAGCATTTTGAAATGTCGAGTGGTGAAACCTGTCGCAATATATTAGTTCCAATACGGCCAGCTGATAAGATTCCCAGTTGATACAAACCAATGCATATCAAGTAACACTTACCTTCGGAGTCATTCCGATGGGAATCTCACAGCTTGTCACCTCTCATAATGATCGTAGTTAACCAGTGAGTCACCAACTATGCACTTTTGAGAATCATCATACCTTCTCTTCTTCTAGGTTCTGTGATTTCATTTGATCAAGCCATATTGTGTAATTAAAGCCTACCAAATAAACCAAGTTGATTGCCCATCAGAAATTCCGTTTAATTAAGTCTCAATAACTGACGATTTGCTTCAGCATTGCCTCGCAGACTTCACCACTTCATAAACAGATGACTTTCATTCTAGATGCTTAAAAATTGAAATGTCTATGAAAGATTGTGCCAAAATTATAACAAAGATAGAATTATCGATTAATTTGTGACCCTGTTCGCTGGTTAGTTTATTTTCATTTAGAGAGCAGTAGTGGGGTTAAGTTTCATCTGTTTATATGCCTTTTTCACATGTGCAATCTTCGAAAAGGCATTTTTGAATTTCTTTCAAATTGTTTTATCACACAAGGCTATTTGTGTGTGCGAATTTTTGCTCTTCAAATCAGTATTTTTGTTCCAGAAAGAGGATGAAGAGTGATAAAGGCAAAGAATGTGTGGGTTTTTGAGAGAAAATATTTTCACCCTTTAATATCTTTTTATACGCAAGGGAGTGTGAAAGTTTTAATAAACCAATAAGGGGTCTTTTTGACGGATTGATGGGGGGGGGGGTTGAAGTCCCTAAAATCATGGTTCATAATTTTAAATAGAAAGATATGCAAATTGGAAATATTTGGGTTTTGAAAGTGATCTATAGGCCTTATTTCTCAAAAATTCACTCCCAGAATATCAATTCGGATGTAAATTCCTTGTCAATCATGTTCAGATCCAGAGATTTAAATAGAAGATCAGATTGATCTCTGTCCACACAGAAATGGAGATCCAATAGGGGTGTTGGTAACACCACAGAAATGACTGTAATCCTGTCTAACCTTAATCATTTGCCTGAAATTCTATTGGCGCCTCTTGTGCATCTATCAATTTCGATGAGTCAGTTGCAGACGAGACTAGCTATGTGCCCGAAAATTGGTTTCATTGAATTCCATCAGGTTGATTCTTATTGGAATTATTGAGGTGGTAAAGGAACCGGAATCATCACAAAGAAAAGATGTTTTGTTCATTTTAATTGCCCTCTCTACACTGTGGATGCTACCCAATTAGGGGTAATGGATAAATCAATGCAATGAGAAACAACTCTTCCCACCTTTTCGAGGAATATTTGTCCCCCAGGTGGGAGTTCATAGATCATGGAATCATCATGACGGATGTTTTTGTT